ATAATCAGCAGCTGAGACAGCCCGATAACACTGGCCTTTGTCTGGCTGCGTTGTTGTTTTCCGCCAGAGTCGTAGCTGCAGTCACTGCACTCTCTGCCGATGCCGAAGACGCCGAGGACGGACGGTCTCCCTCGCTGTCCGACATCATCCGTTGCTGGGCGTTATTGTTCGCCCGGAAGACGGCCCGTGTCTTGCGCCGTAGTATATCCGAGCACAGCACATCAGGGTGCTTTGCCAGCGTGTATATCGCGCTTATCGCTTGCTCCGCCACCCCATACCACTCCTTGCTGTCAGACACAATATCCATCATCGCAGCCAGCTTGATCAGCACCGGGTGGTCGTTGGCCAGCTTTGGGTGTGCCCCGTCCTTTGCAATCGCCTGCCGTCCAGGCTTGATCCGTTTCAGGGCTATGCATGTGTATTTGGCAAGCACAAGATCAGCCCGTCCCAGGCTGCCCAGCCCGATCCGGAGCATAATCTCGATCTCCTTGACTGCAATCTCCGGGTCTGCAAGCGCAAGCATCCCCAGCACGATAATCGCCCCTCTTCGCTGTGTTCTTGATATTTCCTTTTTCTGCACTCCATACACCTGCCATAGCTTGCCGATCACCAGATCTGAGATGTGCCCTGCCTTCACCATTGTGCTAAGCAGCTGCTCGAGCGAGGTGAGCTCTGCCGGCGTCGCTCCAAACGTCAGACTGATCATGTTGCGGGCGATGTAGTTGGCCGTGTCATTCGGGCTGAATGCATCCGGCGCGTCAAAGAACAGCCCCTTGTAGCAATCGATTAGATGGTTCTGAACCCCCTTGCCTTCGTCGCTGTTACCCTTCATCCATATCAGCCGTAGCATCCTGCGTATCCCAGCTCGCGAGGTTTCCACCTTGTACGCATCTAGCATCACAAAAAAGTCCATAGCCTCGATCACCTCGCTCTTATTTCGAGACGACAGCAGCTGCAGGACGGTCTCTGAAGCGCTGTGCAACACCTCGATAAACTGAATGGCCTCGAGGTAGTATTTCCGGGTTAGCTGCAGCCGTGCCAGCATCTCTGACGTTGCTGCTTCCTCTGCCGCTTTCTGAACAGCTGCCGCTTTTTCTTCTTCCGTCATCTTTGGAGCCTTCGACGGAGAGTCGTCTGGTACCTGGGTTGCATCGTCCAGCAGCTCGCTGTCGATCTGCGCGCTCTCAATCCCCATCTCTGCCAATCCGGGTGTCTCTGGTGGCGGCTTCAACGCGTTGAGTTCCTCCTCTACGGCCTGTAAACGAGCATCCCATTCTTTGTACGACAGCTGGCCTCCATGCATAACACTGAACGGGTGTGTTGACACCAGCTTCCCTAGAAGTTTTATAGCATTCCTTCGGACATTGCTGCTCTTATCTTCCAAGCTTCGAGCTGCAAGCTTGGCTGCTGTCTGCCGTCTCTTGGGGAACTTCTGGTCGAGGTCGCAAATCTTCATGTATACTTGTATCACACGGCTGCGGCAGTAGGGGTTCATGTCAAGGAAGCGTTCTTCCAGCACATCAAAGAAGGAATTTATCTGTGTTTGGAAGTTTTCACTTCGTTCTTCTTGCTTACTCAGGTCAGATATCAGATTTCCGCATACTTCGATGACGGCGCAGCGGAGGGTATAAGCCTGGCAATTGTCAGCAAAATGTACCTCGATCTAAATACACGAGACATACTTCACTATCCAGCTGCTTGGCTAGTAGGGTCATTTGCTTGATGACAAGCCGGGGAGCCAGCTCAGACAACTTCACAATAAAAGCGGACACTGATCTCGGGCCCTTGGTATCGTTTGGATTGAACTCCTTATTTCCAACCTCCCTACAACGGAGTTAGAGACAAGACCCGTCCGTAGAGACAGTAGAAATGCATACCTTAGAATCTCGTCAGCGAGCTGAGGATAGTCATACTGCTCCGCCAGGATATGCAAAAATTCAGCCATCGGGTCCGAAAGATGCTCAAAATATGTAAGACTCTGTACAATGGATGTCTGGGCCCCTGATACAGTGTTAGCCGCTTTACCACAAGAGAACATTCGTTGTAGAACCTACCAAAAGCATGCCCATGATGCTTCACTGCAATACAGAGCACCTTGAATGCGTGCATCCGTATTGACATGCTTTTGACCCTCTGCTCGCTCTCCAGGATCAGGTATATAGATCGAGTAAACAGATTCACAAAGGTATCCCGGTCCGATGTTGTAACGAATAGCTTTGATAGCTTCAGCTTCAGCACCTTGCACATAACCTCCATAGCAATCTGTATCTGTGCAGACGAATCCCACGACTCGTCCCTAGCGGGCTTTCGTCCAGCCTTCCCACCTCCTCGTCTTCCCGGCCCCGTTGTAGGAGGCTTTTCGGCTACCTTTGCTTCGACGGAAGATAGTGCCCATTGTAACAGAAAAGCGTACAGCTCCAAGAGGTCCTTGTGCTCGGACAAAGCCTCGGGTTCATCGGCTTCGAGGTCATTATGTGCAATATCGGCGAGCGAGGCAAGACCGGAAACAACTAGATCTAGGATCTTGCTAAGCGCCTTTGGAGGGAGGACAGGTGTAAGCCTAGGAGTCCAGCAGTCAGAGCCCGGTCAAATAGTCTGTGTGTGTATGCGTCACTCACTTCAAGAGAAGCTGCAGGGAATCAAAGAACGAGTTTCTTGCGAGATTTGAGGGATCTTCTGCCACAGAGTCCACAATAGGATTCAGTATCTCATCGATCAGCGGCAGATTCAAGGAGTCCGGGTCCAATTCGCAGTCCAGCAGCTGTGAATCCGCCTCTGGTGTCGGGACTGAGGCGGGGTCGCTCAGGTAGTATTTCAGCGCCTCGTTGAGGTCGAAATCTATCCGTTCGTTCATCGTGGCCGGCTCGTCGACATCTATCCAGCGTATCCAGGCGCCACAAATATCCAGCTCGTGCTGTATCAAGAAAATTGCGAAAGGCGCAAAGAAGTTGAAGAAAATCGACGAAGCTGATGTTTTGTTTGCTTTTTGCCGTTTCGGGACAAACTGCGGTGGTGTAACGCGTGACGGTAAGTAATAAAAGCTGCCCGCAGATTAAGCTAAAATACACTATCTGATACGCTATCAATACACTACTTCGGGGCTATCAAAAAAATACTTCGTGTTGACGCCGAACTTCCAGTCTTTTTGACGCTGACAACTGCGAGGCCGTCAAGACCACTTTGAAGCTGCTGTGATACCCGGTGAAATCATGTCGGACTACGCGGCGAGCAACCACTCGCCCCCCGCGCAGGAGACGGGGAAAGATGAGATGAGCGACTGCTGGGACGACGAGACGCGTTCGCTCGACTACGAGGAGAACGATATTGAGCAGGAGGATGACTACATACCGACAGAAGAAGCTGACACCGAGAGCGAGCATGAAGAGCAGGACGAGACTGTCCGGGAAGACATGAGAAAGCTGCAGGACGAGGAAATACTGCGTGGAAAGTTCAGGCTCATCAACCGCGTCGGCGAAGGTGAGTAGCCAGCTTCTATATGGCCAAGGGATATGCCGGTGCTAATGAAGGCTTGCGGATGACGATTAGGTACATTCTCTACGGTATACAAGGCACAGGATCTGACCTGCAACGAAGGCGCATTCCTGGCCGACCCGCTGGACCCGAGCAAGCCTCTCCGCAAGCCGAAGAAACATTACGTTGCTCTCAAGAAGATATATGTCACCAGCAGCCCTGCTCGAATCCTGAACGAGTTGGAGATTCTCCATGACTTGCGTGGGCACCCCGCTGTGTGCCATATCAAAGCCGCATTCCGGCTTGACGATCAGGTCATTGCTGTCCTGCCATATTTCCCCCACACGGACTTTCGCTTGATGTTCCGTACTTTTCTCGTTGAGGATATGCGGCACTACTTCAAGTCTCTCCTGGAAGGCCTTGCTTTTGTGCATAAGCTGGGGGTCATTCACAGAGACATAAAGCCTACGTTCGTACCTCTTGTTCTTCCATGTTAGCGCTTTTCAATTCCCAAGCTGACAGGTGCCCCTATAGGAACTTCTTGTATAATCCAAAGCTTCGCCGTGGAGTCTTGGTGGATTTTGGCCTTGCAGAGGTGAGTACACGACGCTATTACTCTTCCAGGGTCGCCGCTGTGGTACTGACGCATCCACTTCACAGTATGAAAATGAGGATGGGAACTGCATGTGCAGTACTGTCGGCACACGCGCTCTCGTACATAAACACGATCAGATAATGGACTTCATCCGCTTCTCCAAACAAACTCCTGTTGGATATCCAAGGAACGATTCCAGGCCTTCTCGGCGAGCCAATCGAGCGGGAACTCGCGGATTCCGCGCTCCAGAAGTCCTCTTCAAATGTACTAACCAAAACACCAAGCTTGATGTGTGGTCGGTCGGCGTGATTCTTCTCACGTTCCTGGCCAGACGGTTCCCATTCTTTCACTCAATGGATGATGCCGATGCTCTCATTGAGATTGCAAGTATCTTCGGAAAGAATAAGATGCAACTGACAGCAGCAGAACACGGCTTAGTTTTTGACACCACCATTCCTACAATTTTACCAAAGGGTCACTCCTTGGAACGAATCATACGGTGGTCAAGCTCTGTTGTCGAACTGACCGACAGAGAGATCCAGGCTGTAAATCTCTTGGAGAAGTTACTCGAGCCGAGCGCGTTATTGAGGTGGAGTGCAGATGGAGCGCTGTATCACGAATTCTTCACCAACCCTCAGGGCGCTGACCTCCCCTGGGGCGGAGAAGATCCCGCGAACCTGGAACATCACTCTGACCACGGTGACGATAATGACGACACTGCATGCGATGCCGGCGACGAGGTGAAACTTATCTAACTGCCTATCCATTCTTTTCGAGCTGCCCTTATTTTTTTATAGCTTATCGACAGCTTCAGCTTCGGCGCCCAACCGGACCGCCGATGACGTCATGGGTCGCCTTGCTCGCCATATCTGTGTTCCTTCCCACCAGCTTCTCTGCAACTCCTCTTCCCACAATACCAATTGGTATCTGGCAAGCCTGGGATACTGATGTTCATACAAGACCATCGGCAGACCTTGTTTCCTACAGTCGGCTGTGCCCATATATCTGCTTTGCTATTCCGTCCGAATAGCTGGGTTATTTAAACCCCGGGGGCCCCGCTCACACTATTAGCTTGTTTATCCCTGGTGGAGCAAGGCCGTTCATTGCTCTTGCTCTCAATATTTTATTATAACTTCAAAGGCAACGGCAAGGTGCAGCGCCATTTGGGTGATCGCGGTCTTTGTTTGATCGGTGCCTTGGTTGCTACCATCGCTATCGCCATCGGCTTCATCGGTCTCTCAAACCAGCATCTTCATTTGCCCTCGGCATTCGTTTGCGAGAGCTATCACGCAATCTCACGATACATAACAGACTGTTTCTTCGATAGGAAACCTGCAACCATGGCGTGGCAGTGTACTGGTAGGTCCAACTTTCAGTTGATCGAAAACCTCTTCACTGCCGACCTTATTAAGAGCCAAAGAGTGAAAAATGCAATGTTGAAGGTAAGTAAAGAAGATCTGTCATGTATTTTTGGCTGTTGTTGTCGATACAGCAGGCTGACATCGTTCCCGGAACCAGGTTGACCGTGGCCATTATTCCCCATCCAATCCCTACAATGATTCTCCCCAGTCAATTGGATTCGCAGCGACTATCTCTGCCCCGCACATGCACGCGCATGCCTGCGAATATCTGCTACCTTTTCTCCATCCCGGTGCTCGGGTCCTTGACATTGGCTGCGGCTCGGGATATCTCAGTCATGTTTTCGCCGAGCTGATCACAGATGCCCCTGCTTCGGATGGCTGTGTTGTTGGCATCGATCACATCCAGGGCCTGGTTGACTTGTCTCTAAAGAACTTAGCCAAGTCGGAAGAAGGCCGCAAATTGCTCGACTCCGGAAAGATTAAGATCGTCAAGGGTGATGGGCGCAAAGGCTGGGCTGAAGGTGGACCATACGATGCCATCCACGTTGGTGCAGCGGCAGCAACGATGCATTCAGAACTGATAGATCAACTGCGAGCTCCAGGCCGGATGTTCATCCCGGTTGATGCTGAATCTACCACCAGTGTACTGGGATCTCAAGGACAGCATGTATGGATTGTGGATAAGGCGGAAGATGGCTCTGTTAACAAAAAAAAAGTTTTCGGCGTCAGCTATGTTCCTCTAACGGATGCACCTGAGGAATAGCTGGATCATACGGTAACTTAATTGCAAGACTAGGGCACATAGGGGTTCGACTTGCATTATTCCTTCACTTTTCTCCCTGATTAAATTATCCGTATTCCACAGCTGTAAAGTGATTCTACCGATGAGAATTAATCTGCCAGCCAAAATACCCATCAGACAATTGAATAATTATGTATCAATCAGACTTCACTTTTCTATTAGAAGAATCTAGTAATAATCTAAAGAGGAAGAAGAAGAATACAAGACGGTCAAGTGATAGCAAGTGCAGCTCAGAATGAATAGGATGCATGTCGTTTAACCAGAAGAAAAGGGCCAGTAAAATAAGCGAAGAAAAGTTTCGGAAATATGCATGTTTAAAAGATATCATTAGCAAGAGGAAACAAAGCTTAGAAGGGGAAGCCTCCTTGGAAGTCGAAGCCTCCTTGTGTAAACTTGAAATGGTGGTTTCCAGCACCCTGTTGGAAGAAGAATGGAGACCCTCCGTGTCCGCCAGCAAAGGGGTTGAAGTGTGGCTGGCCCCCGTGGGGGTCATTAGGGTCATCACCATGGTCAAATCGCCGCCTTAACTCGGGGTCAGAGAGAACTTCGTAGGCTTCGTTGATGCTCGCCATTTTCTTCTCAGCTTCCTCCTTGGGTATTCCCTGGCTGCGTGCCTTGTCGGGGTGGAATTTCTTTGTGAGCTGGCGGTAAGCCCGTTTAATTGTAGCCTCATCTGCCTCACGGTCAACCCCCAGAACCTTGTAATAATCCTTTTGTTTCGATCGTTTCAGTAGTGTTTGTGCCTTTTGCATGAGCGTATGAATCTCCTGAGAGCCGGAGTGGTGCTCATCCGCAGTTTTCAGCGTCTGGGTGGCAGCTTCGTATTGCTCGGCGTCTATTTGTTCTTCCGCCTTGGACAGGAGGCCATGGAGTGATGAAGGGTTGAATTCAAGACACTGGCTACAGTATGGCCGCGCTTTTCGCTTGGAATTCATCTAGTCCATGATTAGTAGGTTGTTCATTCAAAAAAAAGCTTAAGGGTAAAGAACCACATACAGCTCTATATGTCTCACACGTCTTCTCCACCAAGGAATGATAGAGATTGTTGGGAGCCTTGGGATGAATATACCCATCTTCCTGGGCAGACTTGACGTCTTGCTGAATGTCCTCCAGCAGTCCAGTTTCGCCCTTGGTCCCTACCAGGAGCTCAGCGGCCTTGTGGAATTTCCGTGTTTCCAACAACTTGTCGAGGTTCTTAAGTTGCTTGGAATTCCTCTTTTCTCCTCTGAACAAACGGCTGCAAATCTTGGAGTCAGGATCGGAGTGAAGACACTTTCGAATCTGGTCTAGTCCGCGTTCGGTGTCCGCTAGAGAGTAAAAGAGCATCGCTGAAACTTGGAGATGAGGGTCAACGTTGTTTGGAGAAAGCTGCGTCAGCCTAGTAAGGTCGTTGATCCCCTCCTGGATGTCTCCTCTCTCGAAATGGCAATTTCCTCGCATCCGTCGAAGCTCGGAGGAGCCCATGGCCTTCGTAATGGCGATATTCGATTGAGCCACGCATGTTTCCCAGTCCTGCTTCTTTTCTGCCTCCTCCGCAGCCACTGCAGCAACATGAGCCTCATGCAGCTGAGCGAGGTCGCCCTCACCTGGCTTGCCTGCAGCCTGGAGGTCTTCCTTAGCCCCGGTCCAGTTGCCAGATCTCATCCGCAGCTTTCCACGCTGCAAGAGTGCCCCCTCGAAGCCTGGCTTAAGCTTGAGAACCTTGTTAAAATCATCTGCGGCGCGAGCGTGTCTTCCCAGGGATAGATAGGCAGCTCCGCGCTGGAAGATGGACAGGTAGTTCGAGGGATCCTTGTCGATGGCGGCGTTGAAGTAGAGGAGCGCATCTTCGGGGGAGCCGCTGGCAAGATGGGTCTTTGCAGAGGATAGCAGCGAGGAGACCGGCGTATCAGGTGGGATATCTGAAGACTGCAGGCCGTTTGCAGATGAAATAACGGCCAGCAGGAAGGCGACCGTCTGGAATCGTACGATCATGGTAGCGGGCGTGATAAGAGAACAAAGCAGACAGAACGATAGCTCCCACCAACCGGCCGGGACAAGCAAAATCTACCAACGCAATGCGCCACAAGCAAGACTCAAAACGATAGACAAGTCAACAGTTTGAAGATGTTGAAATACGAAAAGGAAAAAAAAGACGACGACGCTTTCGTGGCAACTTTCTGTATCTTCAAGAGGCGTCCCAAAAGGGTAAGAAAAGGTGGCTTCATCGGCATTTCGGATATTCAGTTAACCCGAACTTATTGCCGGACACCCGGCGCTAGTCCTCTTTAGGAATGAAGGATTATGTAATTATCCGTGATCATGTGATATCGAATTTCTGAAGTCCCAAAACGGAAAGAAGTAGAAGCAATAAAAAAAGAACGAAGCAATTGCTGGGGATATTTTTTAACGACAAAGCAACAATATAGGGAGATAGTGAGGGTATAATAGTGTCTGGAGTGATGCTAGGAAGCTCAACGTGGACATGCCTGCGGTGTTTCTCACGAAGTGTACGGCTAGCGCAGTCTAGCAGAATTGTTCCAGTGTCCAGGCGATATAGCTCTGCAGGTAGGTCGAGGCCTCGTTCTTATATCTGTGCCGTAACTGCATTTAGAAGCTCACATATTTCTAGTAACACCCAAAGAAGCTGAATTATCCCCTATTCTGTTGAACAGAGCGAGAGCCTTAGCTGCGGAACATGCTACCCTCACGGCACAACAGGCAGAATCCTTCGAGAGGGCTGCTGCAAAGCGGATAGGAGAGATTGCGCCAGTTGCCAATGCATTAAAAGACTGGGATACAGCTCACGAGGTATGCTCCGGTCTATCAGCTACAATGTGAAAAATCAGCCCCGTATCTAATATAATTTACTGCCTTTTTCCAGTCCATAACGGAGCTACAGGGCCTGATAGATGAACCATCTACCGATACAGAACTCAAATCCCTCGCCGAAGATGATATAACAACAACAATTGGAACATTGTCATCCTTATCCGCTACATTAAAACGGGCTTTGATTCCTCGACATCCGTTTGCCGATATGCCGTGTCTGATCGAGATTCGTCCCGGGGCGGGAGGTGACGAGGCAGGACTATTTGCTGCGGAGATGCTCCGCATGTATACATCGTTCTGCTCCAGCCGAGGCTTGAGAACTACAATCATAAAAATGGAGGCAGAGGACGGAGTCGGTGCGGGCGCGGAGGAGCGTCTGTCTGAAGTGGTGATGGAAGTCGAAACCCCTGGGAGCTATAACATACTACGGACTGAGGCAGGAGTGCATCGTGTTCAGCGAGTGCCGGCCACAGAGGCAAAGGGGCGAACCCATACAAGTGCCGTTAGCGTTATGATATTGCCCAGTTTCCCTGAGAACAACCAAGAAGACAGCCCCCTGAACTTTGATGATCCGAATTCAGATTACTACGTCAACCCCCAAGATGTGCAATCTGAGAAATTCCGAGCCAGTGGTGCTGGTGGCCAGCATGTCAACAAGACTGAGTCCGCAGTGCGGCTCACACATATTCCTACGGGAACAGTCATCTCTATGCAGGACTCCCGTTCCCAGCATGAGAATCGCAGGAAGGCCTGGCTGTTGCTCAGAGCCAAGTTAGCCCAAGCCAGGAGAGAGGCGAGAGAGCAGGAAATGATGGAACTACGTCGTGGTGCCATGGGCGGCGTCAACAAGACTGGCAGAGGAGATAAGATCCGTACATATAATTTCACACAGAGTCGATGTACAGACCACCGGAGCGGCATGACGGTACATAATATTGGTAAGGTCATGGATGGAGGTGAGAACCTTGAAAAGATCATGGAGAGCGTTCAGAGCTGGCTTGTAGACCAGGAAGTCGAGGCCCTTTGCCTTGAGCAGCAAGCTGCCACTGCTGAAGGTAAGTCGCCTCGCAAAGCGACTGCTTGATGGTATAGAACGAGACAATGATATAGACACTGTACAATAAATATATAATACCCATATACAGCATTTTGATTTCAAACTTACACTAATTGGGCTTTATTCTCAAAGTAGAGTACGTACAGGGAAACATAATAGTCTATCGTTGTCCTTCTATTTATACGTAGAATATACACGAGCGGAAGCTCTAGATTTGTTTCAGCATAACCAAGCTAGCTCCTCAATTTACTACCGCAGCCACGGAACATGATATAAAAGCCTTAGATGTACTTTCTTTCGGGATCCAGCAGATCAAGACCCTCCATGGTTTTCTCATACCTTTTTAAGCACTTGTTAGTCTCATGATAACGGTCATAGAAGGGTTGATGAATGTTCTTACATAGTGAAAACGATACCACCGCTTAGCACCAGTCTAGCAAGACGTGGAACGGCTCCAGACCAAAAGGTGAATATTCCCTCGTTCTTCAATATCTTTGCCACACAGTCAAAGCTGTTCTTGTAGCTACTTCTTGCTTCCAGCGATTGCATTCTACGCCGTGTTAGCATATATTGGTTCCAAATGTCTCTGAGAATATGAAGTCTTACCGTGTCTTCACAGTATCTAGGGGCTGGGTAACGTAGCTAGATATCGTTGTTAGTTTCCTAGCTCTGAAACTGCAATAAAAATATAGATTCACATACACTGTGATAAGACCGGCCATTCCACCAATGGCAAAGGTACTCAGGGTCCCGAGCTTCTCACCGGGAGCTATGTAGCCCTGTGCAAACTGCTTTATGGTCGTATAACTTCCAAATCTCGTCGCAGAGTTAGCTGCTTGTCGCGCAGTTGTGGGTATGAATCCCTGGAAGAAGCCTCGGATGCCTCGCTCGCGGAATATCACGGTACTTCCATGCAAAAAGCCACGCATTCGTGGTTTAGCAGATTTCCTATCATCGATGCTGTTGATTGTCGACGTATTAGTATGGCCTTAAATTTAATTCCCAGGAAGATGGCCAAGTGGTTGTATAACGTACAGCTGCGTCTTGATGCTCTCGAATGGAGTGACTGCTAGGAGGGACTCGGTAAATCCAGCACCGAACCCGGCTATCACAGTCTTTGGACCAGATATCTTTCCGTTCTCATCTTGTAGAAGGGACTTGAAAGCATCGAACGCGACGAAGCCTATCAGGTTGTAAGGGTAAGTGGTGAACCAGCCGAAACCGAGTCATCGCGGAGAGCTAAACGTACGAACGCCGGCCTTTATCGAGTTACCAATAATCAACGTCGTGCATCCCGCATACCACGCCCGTCCGAACGGAGGCCATGGTAATTTCTTGCCGTCCGCTAATCGGCGGTTGAGCTGGGTTCTTGTCTTCGCGACTGCGGCGATAGGTAAGGGTTGTGTTCGGTCAGCAATCATGCACGAGCAGCAGCATCTATACTTGAGAAGGGTGTGATAGCATACATTCGGCAGGATAAGTGATTGCTATTGCAAGTGTTAGCAGTGTATTCTAGGGCCATCTTCAGGCAGCTATTGCATTGATGGTGGAGGGAGAAGGGGAGCACGTACAGATTTCAACAGCTCCAGCAGTCGAGCCAGCGATGATGGACCGCAGACTGCTCGGCTGTGCATTGGAAGTTAGCTGGTAACGTCGACGCTTATGAGCAGAGACAAGCACCGTACCTTTGGCTTCTGGTCGTTCTCTTTGGTCGCCATCGCTGCTCAATTGACTGGTGCGTCTGGTGGGATGTTCTTCGGCTTTTGCCTGCAGTCAACTTTTCGATGTGACGGACGAATTTAGCTCTTGCTAACTAATTAGCTTGCCGTAACCAAAATGCAAACACTGGAGTGCAACTAATGGATACTGATATAAAGCGCAAGATTGGTATAACTAATTGCATGTCCACATAGATGCGAGGCCATAAGCTAAATCTAACTATTGGGCGATACAATGCCCTCACACCAGCAGGTGCGTTGTCGTCTGTACCGGTATCTACACAACAGAGTACGGTACGCTGCCTTATACTTTGATCTGTAACGAGTGCTGGATCTACGAAGGCGATGATCAGCTAGAAGATGTACTCAGAGGAAACTAAACATGGCATTGACTAGATGTCAGTGATCTAGGGTACAAGTGCGATGAACACAGTAGAGCATGGATTCACCATGAAGTTGAGCAACCCTGCTAACATCAAGTAGTGACCCCTGAATGTTTTTTTTGGTCTTTTTTTACTTCTTTTCTTTTTCATTTCGTTCCTTTTTTTTTCTTTTTTTCTTTTTTCTTTTGGTTTTTGTTTTGCTATGGTTCGTTGTCGCTGTTCGCGAGCTGTCCTTCCACTGGCCTTCGATATCAATTGGTCCGCACAAGGGTCGGAATGGTAGCGAAAGTGAGTTTGTACGAACCCTTGATGAGCGAAAGGTGGAATGAACGGTGCCTAGGTATAGGCATGTTAACCCCGGAACGAGTCGTATAAGCATAGCATCGACGGAGCCTCAATGTTGATTTCTCAAATGAGTTGTCAGAGGCGCGGTCGATGGTGGACGTTCCGGTAAGTAGTGTCTCAAGAAGGGTCACTGGTGTATTGGGGAGTAGATCGGCTCTGAATGTGACGTGAGTGCCGATAAGACGAGAACAGAGTAAGGGCCTTGCTGTATGCCGTAATAGCATGAAGACTGAAATGGCCACAGGATAGGGGGAAAATATGATACAATGCCTGCAGCATCAACATGGCTCGAAGATCCTGCAAGGTACATGATAAATTAGAAAGGGCTGGGGTTCTTTTTTCTGGATGCTGGAAGTGCTGCTGGTGGTAGCAGTGTAGTGGAAGAGATACGCTGCTTGAAAAAAAGAGGGGAAAGGGGAAGTTGGGTATAGTGAGGTGGGTTTGTAGAGGATAGGAGAGAGTAAGCGTTGAAAGGATCGTGAGTGATAACAAACAAAAGAAAACAGCAAGAAAGCAGATAAACGAATAGATGCACAGCAAACACGTTCGATTAGGACCCGGGGGTTCCTGAACTGGCAGCGTTGGCTTGTGGGTTTCCGGCTGCCCTAGAGCTGTCAGGGTTGTTTGAGCGCTGGCCAGAACCACGGCTGCCACGGTACGAGCCGCGGCCGTAATGCCCACGGTTGGAGCTGTACTGTCCATGGCCATTGGATGGGTTGGTGGTTTGTTTACGAGGCTGGCTCTCCGCGCTGGCCGGTTTTTGTTCCTCTGAGGGCTTATTGGAGATGGGGCGAGGAATGGTATTTGGCGTTTCGTAAACATATAGTTTCTTATCGATGGACGGAGGGATGGGCTGGATCTCAGTTCCCAATTCCTGTTCGATCTTGTACAGGTTGTATCGATCGTCCCAGTTAATCAGGTTGATCGCCAAGCCAAGATGCCCAAAACGTCCGGAACGACCAATTCTGTGCAAATATGTTTCGGCATTCTTGGGGAAGTCAAAGTTGATAACCACATTCACAGCCTGGATATCGATACCACGAGTCAACAGGTCCGAACACACGAGGTTCCTACAGACGCCGTTTCTGAAGTCGTGGAACACGCGGTTTCGGTTATGTTGCAGCATGCGCGCATGAGAGTAGAAGCATGAGTATCCAAGTTCGGTAATTTTCTTAGCGAGAAGCTCAACGCGGTTTGTCGAATTGCAGAATATGATGGATTGATTTATTTGGAGTTTCGAGAAAAGAGTGTTCAAGCAATGGACTTTTTGCCTTTCTTCGACGAATGCATAATATTGCGTTATGCCTCGAAGGGTGAGCTCGTCCATGAGGTTAATTTCATAGGGGTTTCGCATGTGTTTGTCCTGAAATATGTACATTAGTTGATTGCCACAAGTGATAAAGTAATGGACGTGTATCGTACCTTGAAAGTCTTTACGATAATCGGGAAAGTGGCGCTAAACAACATAACTTGGCGGTCTTTAGGGTGAAAGGTCAATAGTTGCTCAATTACTGGAGTGAACTCGGGAGAAAGAAGTTTGTCCGCCTCGTCCATAACAAAAGTAGTACATTCCGATAGATCAGCAACGCCCTTGCTAGCAAGGTCAAGAATTCTGCCAGGTGTTCCAACGATGATGTGAACCGTGTCGTTAAGTCGGATAATATCGTCCTGTAGACCGGTTCCTCCAGTCGTGACCATGACATTTATGCCAAGATGCTTTCCAAGCGTCTTGCAAACCTGTGATGTCTGTAGCGCTAGCTCTCGGGTAGGCACTAGTATAAGGGCTTGGGTTTTGGCTATTTTCGGGTTGGTGCGTTCTAGGGTTGGAATAACAAAGGCAGCTGTCTTTCCGGTTCCGTTCTTCGCTCTGGCAAGAATGTCACGACCTGTGAGAGCGACGGGGATGGTTTCCTCTTGGATAGGAGACGGCTTTTCAAATCCAGCTTCAAAGATTCCCATCATTAGGTCTCTCTTGATATAGAAGTCCTCGAATTCCAGACCCTTAGTAGCGGTAACATCCTAGTTGCGAGCAAAACAACAGAGTTAGAAGAGAATATCCGTAACTAGCATAGTGGCAATCCAATGAACCCAGGGACAGCTCTTACTTCGGTCTGTACTCTCGTATCCTTAGCTGGGATTTTCAATTGTTCTTTCCACTTGTTATCCGTGCTACTGTCACTGTTAGGGTAGAGTAAGCGAATGTTCTGCGATTGCGTAAGGATAGCGCCATACTAACCCTAGCTTTGTGTTGTTCAGCTGAGCAGCAAGAGCGTCGGTCATGGTAGGCGATTTTGTAAAGGTGGGGGGTTTAAGAAGAAGGCAACAGGCGTCAGGTCACGTCGAGATTGTGTATTTCTAAGGGTGCGTAGGGGTATTTGCGTGTCTACGTCTTCGAACGAGGTGGACGTAGCTCAAGGGTCAAGAAACGGCTTCAAATGTAACTATAGCGGGGACTGTAAGCAACGAACAAAAGCAGTTAACAACGCGTAAGGAAAATTGAAGCCTTACTGGTATCGTTAGTGCGAGTGTCTTGAAAGCGGCGTTGGGAGTCGTTTCTCGTGTGCTCAGCCGACGAAGGAGTTGCGCGGCTTGTAGGAGTGCGGAGAGGGGGTGGTGTGTTTGAGAGTTTTTCCTGACCGTAACTGCTGTTCGGGAAACACGGGTGTGATCTGGGAGGACACGGAGATTCCAGGAAGCTGAGATATGGCCTTTTGAGGGTGAAAATTCAGCGGAGATAGTCGGGTTGTGAGGTGTTGTGTTGTGTGAGTGTGAGGGCGAAGTGGTTTGTCTGTTGTTTTGTCGGTTTTTTGGAGGTCGAAAGAAGGTGAGGAAAGCTTTTTTTTGGCTTTTGAGGTTAAACTCACGGAGGGAGGGCTTGGCCCGTGCGCCAAGATTTTCTAGTTACTGAACTATTGGGAGTGAAAGAAGTAGCGGATTGAGAGTAGGAGGGAGAATAGAATAGACTATGTACACGGCGGGAGTGGTGGTTAGATGCTATATATACAATATGGAGAGAGGCTGCTGGGGCCTGTCGGGGTTGCATGACTGAGGCTGGTTGCCTAGTTGGGTCATGAGCTACTGGGCAAAGGAGAGCGTACGCTGGCCTCGTTCGGGCTCAGCAAGTCTAGATAGAAAGGAGTGGATGTAAGTATCGGGAAGCGCATGGGCAGAGCAAAGGAAAGTGGCAAAATGAACGTAACGTACTCTTTTACACGCACGTCTGGGGCGGCGGTGATTTCAGACCGAGACCCAGGGGTGATGAGGATATACTGGCGTCCTACTGAGCATCGAGCAGCGTACATCTAGTGGTAGAGATAAAAAGTTAGGTGGTGAAGCGTGAAAGTTTCATGATAACACGTATTAATAAACTTACCAAGATGTCGATTGCCATCTTTCGGTTAACCGAGTCCATGTAGACGTCACTACAGCACGTTAGCGGAAGACCAGACGGTGCGAAGGAGGCGCAATAGGCGGCTTACAATTCGTCCAGACAACGGATAGGGGAACCCATAGCTTCCCATAGAGCCAGTAAAAGGCATATCTGCGAGAATGACTTCTCTCCTCCCGACAGAGTCTTCGCTCCTCGACTGATCCCGTCCTTGGTGCTGTCCGGCTCAACCTGGAAGCAAGTAAGCAGAGTGAACGCAGGAAGGTACCTCAGTGTGACTTGCAAAGAATCATTTACCTGAATATCTAATAGTTTCTTCTTGTGGTTTGCAAGCAGTCTTCCTCTGAAGCCTCGCTCACTGAGAAGGTAGATGAACTGGATCTTCGCTCGTGACGTAATGTGAGCTCGAAACTTCTGCCATCTTTCTTGCCGATGAACCAGAGAACTTTTGAGCATCTACCACGGGTGAGCAGCCAGGCGAAGAAGATTAGATAAGGCCGAGAAAAATATATAATAACTCCATACCTGAGCCAGTGTTCTAAAACTGACGATCTCATTCTGTGACCGCTCATATTTTGCATCAGCTTCCGCCGCGGCGGCGGCAATTTCCTCCCTTGACGCCCCCATCCTAATACAACTGTAAGTAAAAGGTTGTATGACCGTGGGATTGGCCTTACATACTGTGAATCATATCGTCTGAGGTCTCTATCCAGCCTCTCCAGCTTCTCTGCAAGGCTTGTCTCCGTTTCCCCTGCATCAATCGGGACCCTGGGAGAAACCATACTAGCCTTCTGAATGAAGTCAGCAATTCGAGCGGCAGTATCTTCCTGCTTTCGCTCAATCTGAGTAACCTGTGCTTTAGCAGTGTCTGTTTTGGCGATTGCATCATTTTTGCCAACAAGCGCCGTATGCCTCTTATTTGCCTTGACTGACAGCTCATTCTCTGCTTGACGGGTATCCTCAGAAAACCGAGATATTTCGGTGTCTTTGGCAGCCAGTTCCCTCTTTATCTCCTTCACCTTGGTTGTTGCTGCGTCCCTTGCGTTGACGCAATCTTCAAACGAACGTTCGTGTAGCTTCAGCTCTTCTTCAGCTTCTCTCAAGGCCGAAGTTAGCGCCTCGAGCCGTCCATCCTGGTTTCTGTCCCTGTCAATTGCGTCTTTAAGGTCATCTGCCCTATCTTCAGCCCTCTGACTCTCGACGAATAATTCATGCTCTTGGTTGTTATGAATAGAGAGCAGCTGTTTTTGCCGCTGAAGATGCTGGACCGCAGCACGGTGTTCTTGTTCAAGCCGTCCAAGGTCACGTTTGAGAGTATCAATTACTTCTCGCTGCAATCTAGAGATGAGTCAGAAACCAGGTGGGTTGCATTAACCGGGTCAGGATTAGACTTACCTTATCTGGATATCTATATCCGTTTTCATTCGAGGTCTTCCAGTAAATGCGGGAATGGGGGACTGGCTTGGGTCTCCGGTTCGATTGAAGGCGAGATGGATACCTCGCCTTCTATCCCTAGAGTCGATACAGTAGCATCGTTTGACATTTCTTGGCCTTGCGCCATCAAACATGATTTTTGATGCCTCTTCAACATTTTCAATTAGTAGCATCTGCTCAATGCCATGGTTGATCACCAATTGACGGCGAACCATATCATTATCAATCTGTATTGCGCGGGCGGAGATAGTCAGTAAAAGGAACATTTACAGTGATATTAATAGCTAACCTCTAGTACTCTCAGCGCAGTATCAAACTGGGAATCAGGTTCATGGTCCGTGGTATCAATCCTTCCTTGCGAATTCCCAATAAATATGGGACAGACGCTACATATTACACGTTAGCAAAGAGTTCAGTAGTTTGTATAGAGTTCCTCAACCCACCAATTTACCCGTTGCATTATTCCAGACAAGACATTCATATCTCGTTTTGAAGTAACCACAAAACTTGTGAGTGTTGTGCCGAATGCATTCTCGAGGACGGAAGACCATTTGGGCTGCAAAAGGCGTACATGTTGGCCCAGAGGCCCAACTGGCGGTTGGTCGAATCCCCGTTCATCGGCAATCGCCCGCAGAAGCAAGGGCATTCTCTCATTAAACCCGTCCTGTTGGCCTCTACTATCTCTCATCAATGTTCGTAGCTGGTTTTCCGCATCAGTGATCTCGGTCTTCTTCATCCCTATCGGTCCTCTTTTCTTGCCGGCTGCTTCTTCTGCTTCAGCGACGGCTTTTTGTAAATCTTCAGCACCTTGTTTATGCTCATTCAATTTTTCTTTGGCGGCCAACGCAGCAGCCCTCTTTTCTTCAAGCTCCGTGAGTCTTGCTGCTGTAGCACCGCCATTCAATGCCGCAAGCCTCGCGTTTTCTTCTTCAATTTGCTTTTCAGTATCGACAATTGTCCTTTTATTGTCCATGATATGCTCCCTGATCATCGCTTGTTGGGCCTTTCTCTTGTATTAGCCATTGTAATTATGTTGATACCTGGTAACGTTAGGAGACACACCTGGAGACCTGTCCGCTCTTTAACGGCTTCATCATACCGTTGCTTTATTTCTGCTTTACTATCATCAATGGCAGCTTGGGCTTCCTTAGCTATACGAACGGCCTCTCTTGCCTCGTTGACTTCTTGATCAGCTGCCTGGAATTCTGCGTCACGATTTTCAGCTTCGGACTCTAGCTGCTCAATACATGCTCTTGTTTCTGCTATTTCGGCAATGAGAGAATCTCGAATCTGTGGGTAGTTAGCTTACAGAAAGAAAATATTGAGATACAAAGGGGGAAAGGGCAGACCCGTTCTTGTTCCTCGACCTGTATCCAGGCTGTCTGGGATCGTAAGTGTCGAATCCGGGCTCTTAGACTCTCATGCCTGTCAGACTGTGCCAGCCGTGCCCTTGCATTGTTCCGATTAGATTCCAGGACCTTCAATTGTTCCTGATGGTCATGGAGTTTGGCTTGAAGCTGGTCTATGGATTCCTCCATCATATGGTAGTCGTGGTCTAATTGTTCTAGCTGCACCCCTTTCATGAAAAATTTATACTTTTCAGCAGGACTTGAGGCACTCAGAAACTGCCGGGCCATGTCCTGAGAGAGTACGTTCATAGGGTTGTCCATCTGCAGCGCAAAGTAGTCCGTGATACAATCTAGGTCCGCTCTCCTTGTTGAGATGATGGCCCCCGATTTACTTTTCAAGCGAAAACCGCTTGAGCCAGAGCGTGTGAAGTGACGTTCGACGATTATTGACTCTCCATAGGTATCTGGTAGATAGGCACCGTCTCCTCTGTTCTTTATGCGCACGATGATGGTTGCGGACCTATAACATAGTACATTAGCAAAATGTAGCACCCCCAAGAGAGCTAAAAGTGCATCACCTACTCCTTGCCTTCCTTGACAAAGCTTTTAAGGCTCTGGCCACGGTTTGTAGCAGACGCTTTTCCTCCCAGACAGAGTGTGAGTGCGGTCAAGATGGCGCTCTTCCCGCTCCCGTTTTTGCCCACGATGAAGTTGATCAACGGGCCCAGCTCGACCGAGAAGTGCTCATGGCACATGAAATTGTAGCAGTCGACACGCTCTATGATCCCATGCTCTGCCGCAACATTCTCCTGTCTCCGGGAGTTCTTCTCGTGGATGGCCTGGGTCGAGCGAAGACCGATCTCTTCCTCCTCCGCGTCCTCTTCTGCCTGTGACGACGAGCTGCTGGAGCTGCCGGAGCTGTTAGAACTATCCGAGCCGGACGAGGCAGCGTCTTCTTCTTCGAGCACGTCTGATATCCGCGGTCGTTTATTCTATCAGGTTCCCCAAGTTAGCCGTGCTCTTGTCTTGTACAGTGATGGGATGGTCCTCTCTTAACTGTGCTGGACCCGGCTTCAACAATGCTCTGCCCTCGCTTCATGGCTGTCCGTAAACGCCCGGAACTGCAGGTATCAACGCTTTCAAGTCTCTTCTCTTCTGTCGTTCTGGCGATGTCGCTGAAGTGGTGGTCGCTTTTTCATATTTATCTACTTCGTTGCGCTGATTGACTTTTGCGCGCGTCGCGTGTTTGAGGAAATCTCGTTAGATTGCTCGGATGCCACTCTTTGTAAGGCCGAATGGCTTCGATGCCCCTGTTTCGAGCCTCAAGGCGCAAAGATCCTGCATTTGGGGTCATACGCAGTGTTTTCTACGTGTATCCCTAATTGATTACTAGAAATAATCCTATTCTATGGCCGTCGTCGGTGCCAGGAGGACGGAGAATCCGCAGCTACGCCTGAGCCAGTTCTACCCTTCGATTATCCATCTATATTAACAAGAGTAGGAGTCGGGCACTCGATACACCCTTATACACGGTTATAAACAGCAAAGGCCTCCAGGTAGTTCTTTGCCGTGGCTGGGAATGTGAACTTGACGGCCTCGTCCTCGCCGGCGAGATATCTGCGAACCTCTGCCTCCGTCACCCATCGGTACTGCTCATGCTCGCCCGGGGCCAGCTTGATCTGATCCTCCCAGTCCGGGGCGAAGTGACTGTTCTCTGGCGCTTGGTGGGCTTCGTGGACGTCGACCCAGAATGAGAATTTGATGGCCTTGATGTGCTCTCCGTCCTTGACTCTGTCCCAACGGTCGACGGCAACGAGATCCCGTATGTGGGAGACATGCAGCCCGGTCTCCTCATAGACTTCTCGTGCGACGCTGTCGAGTACTGTCGCATCGGTGTCGTCGCAGGAACCCCCTGGGCCTTCCCACAGGCCGCCTAGGGAGTCTGTTATAGCTCTCCGGAGCAGCAAGGCCCGTGTAGAGCGTCTGATTTCATCGTCACTGACTGTTGTATTCGGGTTTCTGGCTGGGGAAAATATGAATGCACCGATTATAAAGGCGTTATACTCGGATTTTGAGTCAAAGAAGTCACTAATAGGTACGTCGAACTCAGCAAGCTGTGGCTCAACTGTGAATGTTCGGTCCATGGTGGTTGCTGTGGTTGAATGGAACGAACAGAACGCTGAAGGACTAGATGGATAAGTATCAATTATTTATATACAAGACAGCCAGGCAGCAGAATTAGCCATACAGATGTTACGCCCATTGAAGAGTCATGGGATGAGGTTGATAGGAAATCAATGATATCGATGACATCAAGTGGGATACCTCGTATTTGAAGTGTCCGAACTAATGATTTGAGTCAGGGGATATTATTGATCCCTGTATCCATGTCTATCAAATATATCGCGATACAGCAAGTAAAATCCACAAACACAAGTGATAAATGGAACTGAGCCTTGGGTCTCTAGGGTTTTGGAATTATTAGATATCAATCGTATGTTGGAATATGTATACTGTGTTATTCAAAGATTATATTTATAAAAATAGAAATAATAATGAAAGTAAGGACACTAATCAGAAAAAGATGGAATACAAGAAAGTATAAAGATGCTTCCAACATATTAGGGGTATCTTAAATGGAAGCATCTGATAGGTATTAAACAAAAGAGCTGTCGAAGGTATATGAGTATGTATGTCCAAACAAATGGAAGAATTGAAGTATCGACATAGGAAAGTCGCTGTCGCGGTGGTCAACGTAATCTGGTAGGAGAAGAAGTTAAAAGAGAAAAGAAGAAAACAGAAGAAAAGGGTTAATCCCACTGGCCAAGGTAGGCAGGCTGCCATTCCTGGCCAGGATAGGAGGTGCTGGACATCACTATCTCTTCACTCGAGTCATCATTTGTTGGAAGTTCGACAGGTTCCATGGAGGCTACATGTACAAGGCGGGTTTGCTCGGGGATACGGGCGCCGTTTGACGCAACACCAGACGGAACAGTGGAATTGGAGTTACTGGCGGGCGTTGGGCGTGTTTCAAAGTATGAGTATGAGCCGTTGATGGATCCCTTGGGTGGTGATATTGGCTGCGGAGAGCTGACATGACGTAACCCTGGAGAAGCAGTCGTAGACATAACATATTGAGATGTACCGGATGGTATCTGGGGATTCTGATGCTTCTCATCCTGGGGTAATGTGATGGTCCATGGAGTCTCCTGGTCGCCTACACGCGGAGTGTGCGGAACAGAGGTATGAAACGTTCCAAGCCTCTGTGTAAGGTCCTGAGTATCAGGAGCAAGTGAAGGGCTAGCGGCGGTATCTGGAGGCCTAGAGAGAGGACTGCGAGAACGGAAATGTAAATCTTTGATGTGAGGAGAGTGTGTTGGTGATTTGGTAGTCTGCTCGGAGCCGGTAGGAGAATACATGGCTTGTGATAAGGGTGGAGTTATGATGACCTGGTTGTTGGAAACAAAGCTCGATCCTGGAGGTACTGCCGAGCTGAAAAGGCCAGTAGGTTCTCCAACCACTTTACCCCCATGGCCCTCTGAAAATTCCTTCGTGGGAGAAGGCTGCCTGCTCATTGGAGGTGTGTTTGACGGGCCAGCCATCCGTGAGGTAACAGAGTTAACGGACTTGTAGAATCGCGTTGGCCGATTTCCTGGAGCTTGTCTGGGGCCCTCTTCTGCCGTTGACGTATTGGAGATTCGCTGGTTCACATTTGCACTTGGAGCTGGAGTTTGGGCTCTGCTGGGGGAAAATGCTCTATCAGGCGAAAGAGCTCTGGCTGGTGAAAGGACTGTTTCAGGCAAGAAAGGCCGATTGCTCATAGGGGGAGACGGTTCATCATATACTCCTGAATTCAAGTGATGAACGGAGCCGTTCACTGTATTATTATGATTTGAAAGAGCACTTGGGGTGTTTCGTTGTACGGCATCTCGGTTTCCTACTGACTGAAATTGTCTAGCATTGGAAGCAGCATGAGTGTGAGCTGTTGTTACGGCAGACTTCTCGCTCGTAGGACTGTTGTTATTCTTATTTTTGCCATGTAGTAGATCAAACTTCAGCGTTTTGAACATCTTGCTGCTTTTCTTTAGCGCAGGGGATGAGGGCCGATCTGCTGGTTGCCCCTTGCTGCGTCCCAGGTTAACCTTCGACATGATGCCAGTAAACCCAAGGCTGGACCGGCGCTTTTTCTGCTCATCTGGAGGATGGTAGACACCGGGATCAGGGCAACCCGCACCTACTTGGGAATAGTAGCAGTTGGCATTTCTGTCGTTAGCCTGCTGGTCGTGCACATGGTGAGTAGCCACTCCTGGAGCTTGGATGGATATCCCAGAGCCATTCGTGTCTGTGCGTGCATGGGTAGAAGGCAACGGTGACACGCTGCGCTGGTCTGTCTGAGCCCAGGTTCGTGCATGAGCTGGATGAATTAAGTTGCTGGGCAAGCTGTTCGACACGTCTGTAACAGGAAGCGGGGGAACAGTTCCGGGAGGAGGAAACTTGTACTCAGATTGCCAATTTGTATTCTGAGGCGTAGAGCTGCCTTGCTGGTGGTCTATCAGTGGAGGGCTGTCTTTGGGCGGACTGATTTCCGGTTCTAGTTCAAACGAGAACTTGCGGAGACCCAGCCCCCGTTGCTGTTCTGTAGTATCTGGAGGCAGATTATGCTCTTGATTACCATTGGTTACAATTATCTCTGCTTCAATCTTCTGGAGTCATCGAGCGTATCTGCCGAAGAAATGACGGAGGACTCCCGAGTGGGCTTGACGTCCACTTCGGACACGGCAAACGATAGTCTGCCCTTTTCAATATCCTTTTCATCTGCGAGCACTGAGACAACGCCTGACTCCCCACTGCCTCGGTCGCTGGTTGTGGCAGAAACAGGTTCAATATTTGGGGTAGAAGTTGGAAGGTTGATCTCTGGTATACCAGGGCTCTGCATTGGCTGGTCAGGCACTGGCATAGGCTGATTGTTGGGAACATCAGTTTGCACATGGGGTTCTGAAGATTCAGGAGTATGAGAAACGGGGCGCTCCTCCGTAATCAATGCCAGACCACGACCACTATATCGTTTAGAATCTCGTGGTCTCTTTTCGTCACCGTTAGACTTAGACATGATATGAGCAACTTCGCCCATAAAGGAGACCGAAAATGGCTGGCTATCGAATTTTAGGGATTTCACACGAGGGATTGTCTCTGGGATTGTCAGTGACTGTTGCTGTTGCTGTTGTTGCTGCTGTGGTTGTTGTTGATGCTGATGCTGATTCTGATATTGACTACCAATACTAAGTCGAGAACTTTCAAACTCCGACTGCACAGAATTATGTGACATCGGAGGAGAAGCAGGAGGAACAATTTGACCCTACAAAATAGCCGTATATTAGACTCGCTATGTGACTTCGTAAGATATGACCGATACAAAAAAAGGGGGTAAGCCAGAATTTTCCCCCCGGCATGAGAGAGCCCAAAGATATCAGCCGGTTCGATCTTTAACCAAGGACCAATTTGATAGGATGAGTTGCCAATGTAAATCGAAGAAAAGCCAAGATGTATAGAAGAAGGAAAATGGAGGGGGATAGTGGGGGTGGCCATGAGGATCGTCACATTGGCCAGAATGAAGAATATGTCATTCTGAAGGAAGGATGGAGGAAGAAAAGAGACTTAGGTATCTACCTTGTCGGCACTTCCACTATGTCGGAATTTACTCCTGCCCTTGGCGAAGAGGCCCTTAGCTGCATCACCAGCCTTACCGCCTAGGACGCCGGCGGAGTGAAGGAGATCCTTGCCCTTTGCTTGGACGTGCTGCGTGTTCATCATTCCGCCGAGCTGGACGCCTGAGCTCTGGCGGGTGTGGCCATGGCCAGGACCAGAGCCGTCATGGTGTCTAGAAGGCAGAGATATATTGCCGAGTGAGGGTAACTTGGGGAATTTTCCTTGAGATGGGATGGGCCGGTGAGTGGCGTTGGGATCGGTCGGAGCAATACCGTTTCGTTGGATTGTTTCTGCGTTGTCAGGGTGGCCGGTTTCCGCTACGTTCTTGATCCATCCGTCGAGGCCGGAGTCTGTGTTTGCGTAGACATCTCTGGCATTGTTAAAAGCAGCTATTCTTTGGGCGGGCTGGGGGATGCTAGTTATTTCACGGAATTCAGGGGCTTTCTGATTTGACATGGATGATGCGCCAGGCTGGACAGTGGTAGGGGGAGGGGGGCTCTGGCTCTGAGTCTTTGGCAACAGCTCTGTTTCTTTCTCTTGAGTCTCGACTGGAGTGGTGTCTTGTGGGCTCTCTGCAGCGAGTGATCCTGGGACTGGTGCACTAGTTGCGGCTTCAATTCCACTGCTACCCGTGGGCTGTTTATTGATGACCAATGCTCCTGGGGTCAGGGTGGCTGAAACGGGTGACAGCGGGGATAGAGCCTGTTCTTTGTCACTCTCCTCTGAGTCAACCTCCCAGGAAAACTTCTTTTTTAGCTGTCTCTGAGGCTGCTGCTGCTGCTGCTCGTAAGTAGGGATAGAGATGGTAGTGTGGGGATGATCCATGCCATGGGGAGATGGGTGGTTGTCCTGGAGTTGTGTATACGCATACTGCTTTGGCTCCTCGCCTGAAGTAGGGGAAGGAATGTCAGCTTTCTGCGCAGATTTCTGTACCTGGGAGCTCTCATCATGTTCTTGGACTGGAGGTTCGGTCTGTTGTTCTGTCGTCTCTGTGGCAGTGTTTGGGAGCGTGTTTGGGTCTATCGAGCTTCGTTTACTCATGCTAAGAGGCGAGACATCCAGACCAGCGATGTGTGGCCCTGAAGAATCGTCTTCTGAGACAGTGTTACGCTCGCGGAGCGACGGAGTGTGAGTCTCGATGTCACTGTGGCCAGCATCTACTGCGTCTGGGCAATCCAAGCCAGAAGATGGTGAGTGTTCACCTTCAGCGGATATAGATTTTGTAGGGTCTGTGTGTGCTGTATGAGTAAAATTTGAGGATGGCTCGTCATCGCCTACGTGTTCTTCTCTGATAGTAGGGACCTTCTCTGCGGGTTCTCCAGCCAGTGCATGCGTGCTTGTTGTCGTTCCAGCCTTGTCACCACTGTCCATGAACCCTTCAAACCCAGAGAGTCGTCGTACCTCGGGCAGCTGGCCTATGGGAGGCTCTGCGGTGTCGTTCGGTAGCGGTATCGCGCCCGTCTTGCCGCCGTCGGGGCCAGCTGGAGTAGACGCTTCAGTTCCAGTCGCTGCCGCTGTATCTTGAACCGTCGAAGCTGACGGCGTGCCAGCAGCTCCCACAGAGCTCCCTGAACGGGTACTTCCCCGCTCTTCAGCCAGCCGTTTGTATATATCCGCCGGCCTGACGATGTTTGGCGACTGGGTGTTTCCTGTCGCACCACCAGTAGAGCTATCTGGCTGGTCTTCCTCATCCTCGTCCTCGCTGTCTCCCCACTCGTCTCCGGCGTACGAGTATTGTTTTGCATTCACCCATCGCTTGGTCTTTTGGCGATTGACATTAGTCTTCAGGTCGAGAGTTTGCGCCGTTGACCAAGGGGACTCTGGCTGCTGGCCTCCCGCGGGCGATCTAATAACACAGAAAAATGTTAGCCTTTTCAACCTGTCCACCAACACTAACCTGAGGATCTACTTACCTGTCACCAGGGACATAGGTCGGCTGGTAGCCAGACATGCTGCAGAGGGTGTGCCGTGGTAGTTGTGGCCTGTCGTGGTTATTATGATTATGGTTACTCCCCCCAGGGACGATCTATAAGTGGTTCGAGAAGAGGGACTCCCTGCAGCGGCTTCGGCACCACGCAGCGGACACAGCTAAGACACCAGTTCGCCAGCAGAGCCCGACCGCTCTATCGCATCTCGTCCCTCGGGCACAACAGAGAAGAAAAAAACGCTTGCTCGAGGGAAGAAGAAGCGGAAGAGCAGAAGGACAGCGCCTTTTCAGGGGATTTCGCGAAGGATGAGCTAAGAGTCGTTAGGTCGGTTAGTAAGCAGGAACCTCACCTCACCTGCCGCGGGCTGGTCGGAGCGGAGAAACGTCTGGCCGTCGGTGGAGGCTCCGGGCCCGCATGTCGATTCTCGGTCAAGGCCAAAAAAGCTCAAAAGGCACTTGCTTGTCTTCCACCGACGATGAGGACCGACAGCGAAGCATCCAACCTCGTCCCTATGGAGAGAATGGGGGTCCGACAGCCAGCAAGACAGGATACCAAAGACTAAGAAGTGCTCACTGGCTAGCCAGACAGCCAGACAGCGAGTACACCAAACGTTGATAGTCGAGCGATAATCTACAGACCTCTACTGAGTAGCAGGTAGGAAAGATCAACCCAGGCAACACTGTATTTTAGACTAACAAAAAGGCCACAGCCAGTGTGATATGGCCGAAGCACGCCCTGCTAACGCACGGGCCCGGAAAAAGGTGACCTGGTGGCTGCGGATGAAATACAGGCTGCTACGCCTCACCTCACCACTCCGTCTCCGCGGCAGTATTACCCGTCTTAGCCATCACAACAAGCGGCCTTTTCTCTCACTGCTTCGTCTTTGCCTGCCTACAACCTCCCTAACTTGGTCATTCCCTGTTCCAGAACCTCTCTCCCCAAGTACCCTTATTACAGACCCATCACTTTGCTGGAAGAGACGTATAGAGGGGGATATTAAAAACCTACAAGATATTCCTATCTGGCGCTCTCGAGATACCCCCCTCCGCTCTTTATACCGTCTCTATGAGGCTGTAATGGCGGGTGAAGAGTTCTTCGTTGTTATTGGCTATGAAACGGAATACTTTTGGTATCAAAACCGGACTTCCTGGGAGCCTCAATATATACCAGACCCAGCTGACCCTGACCCTCTTCGCTATGCTATCCTTGCCTGTATTGCAGAGGCATTAGTATTGGCATTAAACTGGCGGTTAAGTCTTGGTATGAGGAGGAATGGAAACCATATACATCGCCAGACCGGTAGTGACCCTTACCCACCTTACAACCCCTTGCTTATGCCCTCCTGGGTAAGAAACGTGCCTCCAGTATCAACCGAGTACCTACGCTTAACTATACCTGCCAACAAACTTGATTCTGATGGGCGCCTGGTACTTATAGACGGGGGGAAGAGCGAGATATTTCGCAAGAGGAACATTATTGCTTCTGAATATAGATTCTACACTATATAGCTTTAACCGATTTTCAGTACATAATACCCGTTCCAAGGATACAGATCTCTTTGTGGTACAGACCCTCCTCTATTAAAGGTAACTAAGGTAGATAGGTCAGGTTAGATAAGATGGGTACCAAGACCCTAGGTAGGGTTGCTAATAGAAAATGAGTAGGGATGTCTCTGGCTAAATTGAATCAAACAGAGGATCGTGGTGGGCCACTGCAAGCTTGGCTCGGAGGGCATCAGCGAACTCCTCTAGAGAAACTGACCCACCTCAGAGTCATACTCCGCTTCTAAGGATTCTTAAACGAAATCATCATACTCATCAGAGTTATCGAAGTCATCATCGAGAAAATAATCTGCTACTGCAGCTTCAAGTGACGAGATGCCATGCATCAACCATTGTAAGCGAAATAGTTCAATATTCGGCAAGGGGCAGTTTACTGCATCCTCAGTGTGTAGAGTAACGACATGCCCTGAAGGAATTCGGACGTTTGTTTGGCAGTCATATAATCGTATATTCGATGTTTCGGAATCCGCCTTGCCGTGCCTGTAGCCAACCCAGCTGAAGCGGTGCCTGAACCGGAATTTATGCTTTTGACTCCGGCCATAAGTTTATAACGACTCTCTCTGCAGCCGATTAGGGATTTTCCTTTTTTGTCCAGCGGTTTGATACCATAGTAGCGCCCAAAATAGAGCTGGAAGATGGGAAACAAGGAATATCATTCCTTCTTAGCTTGCTGATAAGACGTGCAACAAACTCCCGACGCAGGGGTTCTCGCAGCTCCCGGTCCAATTTGTTGTGGCCATTTCGGTGCTGAGCAGTGGATCAGTGAAAAAGGTGATTCTCTAGTGAATGAGCAAACTGACTAGTTAATTAGCTATCTAACTAGTCAAGGCATCGATCTATCGAAGAAAGAGACATCGTTCATAGTCCGAGTGCTGAGGATGGCCTTGGAAGAATAACACTGTAGACGTTGAAGTAGTTGGGTCTTATGGATGGAACCTAGCTTAGTAATTCACTCATGTGACTCAAATTAACTAATAGTTAGTTGATTAGGTAATTACCTGGTTTGTCAGCAAACCTTAACTTAACTACCTCCAGCTCAGCCCTGAAGGAAGCATTAATATTAGACAAACAGGAGGAGCGGACGACGAGATCTCTCCTACTGGGTGATGCTGGCGCAGTCATGGGTGGATAGCACCGTGGGCATTGCTCTATAGCTGTCGGGCCGATGGTTTACATGACAGACCAAGCCGTCCGCGCAACATCTACTCCTCACCAGCGATTAGCGGCCGTTTGCGGTGCTAACTAGTTCGTCCTCGGCTAACGGAGAGGAGAATACAGTATCAGGGCCTCCCAGCAAGCCGGTAGCTTGACCATACTGCCGAGGACTGCAAACAAGTAGTTGGCCGGCCCTAACTATACGAGGTTTACCCCAGACACTGCGGCATCTAGCCTGGACAGGGATACTTATAAAGAGTCACAGCTCTGGCTGTCATCGTCACCCCATTTAGTTGAAATCGTCCACTGCAGGCTGCCAGAATGGGTAACAGGTTTATTGATTATCTACGCGGGCCCGAGGGCAGGCCAGGGGAGGCCCGTCTCTTGCGCAAACTAGACTTCTTCATCCTCAGCTTTTGCTGTCTGATGTACTTTGCAAACTATGTAAGTGTTTTCCTGGTTGTCCACCCAGGAGCAAGCAAGGTCTAACCGACGAATAGTTGGACCGAAGTAACCTGGCGAATGCCTACGTCTCTGGAATGAAAGAAGACCTAGACTTCCATGGGAAACAATTCAATCTTATCAATACCATCTTTACTGTTGGGTACGGTTTGCCAATGATTGTGTGTGGACAAGTGAACTAATGGTTGATATACTCCTGATTAGATATGTGCTCGGTCAGGTACCATCTAATCTGGCTCTTTACCGTTTTAAGCCACGGTACTTCCTACCGGGCATGATGGTGATATGGGGTGGGCTCACCATGGCTACTGCTGGTGTTCACAATCCGCAGGGAATCATGGTCATCCGTTTCTTCCTCGGCTTGGCCGAGTCCTCTACTTTTGTAGGAACGCACTATATTCTGGGCTCTTGGTATACAGAACGAGAGCTGGGGAAGCGGTCAGGTATCTTCACTGCATCTGGCCTGGCTGGAACGATGTTCGGCGGCTTCATCCAGACTGGTATCAATTCATCCTTGCATATGAAGGGTGGTTTGCCAGGCTGGAGATGGCTCTTCATAGTACGTTGCACCTGTCCGGACTTCTGATATTCACCTTGGCCAAATACTAAAGAGTGATGGTCAATAGATTGATGGGCTTATCACCGTTCCAATTGCTATGTATGGGTTTTTTCTCTTCCCGGATACCCCCAGGACGACTCGTGCCCCTTACCTCACTGCTGCAGACAAGGAACTGGCCGTAGCCAGGCTGCCGTCGCCGAGTGATGACGCTGAGCACACGAAGATCAACTTTGCCCTTGCCAAGCGGGTTTTCTCAACCTGGCATCTGTACGGATTTGTGATTCTCTGGGTAATTGCAGGAGAGACCGAGTCCTTCTCAACGAACTCTCTTCTGGCCCTGTACATGAAATCCCATCCGACCATCAAGTACACCGTCGCGCAGAACAACAACTACCCATCCGGCATCCCTGCCGTTGGCATCGTCTCGACCCTCATCTGGGCGACACTCACAGACTTTCTCGGCGGGAAACGCTATCTTGTGGGCTACTGGATCGGCATCACTGGTGTAGTTACCTCTGCCATGATCCTGGCGCCCGGCTCATCGACAGCCACCATCTTCGCAGCGTACTACTGGGCTGGCTCGGTCTATGCATGCCAGGCCACCTTCTTTGCCTGGGCCAACGACGTGATGCGGTACAAAGACGATGCCTGGCGCAGCGTTGTAATTGCAGGCATGAACATGGGCAGTAACGTCATCAACGCCTGGTGGAGCATTGTCTTCTATCCAGCCAGTGATGCTCCTTATTTCAGAGTACGTCTTAACATTCCTGCTAATTCTTCCCCTGGATATTTTCGAACTAACCAGACGCAGTCCGGCATGTATGCCATGATAGCCTGTTCGATAGCCATGGCAATATGGACTGCATTTGTGATGTATATGGCCTGGCGAGAGGGAAAGCAGACAGTAGACAGTGAGCAGACGGTTGAGAAGCAGGACAGCCAGTGCAAAGATAGCTAACCCTCAGTAGTAAAGGGACGAATCTGATGAATCAGCAGATCTGTACACAGTTTATTCATGTCACGTTATAATATGTTAGCATTGGCCAATAGAACAGCCCTAAATCTCAAACTCAAGTCAAACTTTCAGCTTAGTCAGCAGGTTATCTCTCGTTATCCTCGTTTGATGGATATAAAGATGGATTATTAAAAAAATATACTCCGTATACAAGACAAAAAGGAAGAGAAGAAACGGAAAAAGAGGAAGAGAAGAAGAAGAGACGATGACGGCGAGCTCGGTTGACACTGCAGGTTCAGCGGACGATCAGCCTCTGTCCTCGCCGCTGTCGCCGTCGACGTCGATGAGCTCTCCCGGCGAAGAAGCGGGCAGGCTGACGGACATGGCCTCGAACCAGCTGGACGACGTCTTCGGCTCGTCTCCGCCACGGGCAGCAGCAGGAACGACGGCAGCATCAGCTACAGAGGACGATGGAGACATGCTTGGTGGTGGTAGAAGGGCTGGTGAGGAGACAGTGCCGTCTCTCGCTGAGCCATCGGATCTACCCTCGCTGCGTCGACAGCATGTCACAGCCGGGTACCGCGACGGGGTGGCGGCAGCCAAGGGCGAGCATGTCCAGCGGGGGTTCGACAAAGGCTATCCCGTTGGAGCAGAGCTGGGAATCCGAGCGGGCGTTGTGCTGGGTGTGCTAGAAGGCCTGGTGAAGGCGCTAGAAGCAAAGGATAAGGAGGGCGTCCCAAAGGACAGCCGGGCCAGGGTGACGGCGCTCTTCGAAACGGCAAAGAAGGAGCTGGTCCTGGAAAGGGTCTTTAGTCTGGAGCAGCAAGGGACGACGGTAAAGGAAGCGGAAAGGGGTGAGGATGAGGGTGAAGACCACGGTGATCCCTATAGCCGACTGGGAACGAGCTGGGGACACGGCCGTTACACGGTGGGAAGATAGGGTCCGGATATTGCTCGCTGAGCTACGCTGAAGGGGAGCAGACGCCGTGGACTAGATGTACACATCTGGCATGTGCTGCTGCCGGTACTCGGTGCGGTGGTGGGTGATATAACAATCCTTATATGGGAGAACCTGCAGGAGGATTTACAGCAAGCAGAGCCTGCTGTCCTACGTCTCCCCTCGGCCCAGAACCCAGATCAACGACGACAGGACTCCTCGCCTCTCCCTCTCTCTCTGCAGCCAACCGAATGATGCGCCGATGGGGTGGGCGATTTGAGGCCTGTCTCCCTCCGTCCTCTACACGCAGCAGGACTGACCTCTGGCCATCACCGTTCATCTATAGGAGAACACGACTGCTGGCCCACAGTGGCGCATGAGGCCTCTTTTTACTCCCAGACTCGCATGTATTTAGACGCAGACGGCCTTCTATTTGCCTCGTCCTTTGCCCTGCGTCAGCCATCTCGAGCCTCCCAGCCCCCCTCCCCAGACCAGACCAGACGTGCCAGCGCATCGAGGCATGCGAGTCGACCCTGGGCCCGCCCGACGGCTCTTTATTTGATCCATACGCACTGCCAGCACTTTGCGAGCGACTGTTGGTAACTAATCTCGTCTAGTTAGCTGTGGTGTGCCGCCGATGCGAGCGCACTCTGCCATGTAAAAACAGGACAGGACAAGGACGAGAAGAAGAAAAAACCAATAAATAATAGAATAGAGGAAGTCGAAAAAAGGGCTGCTCCCCGTCTCGGCCTGCTGGCTCGCTATTTGATGTCTTTATTAGTTCGATATTGCGCTGTTCAATGTCTGGCGATTTGCTGACCAGCCATCCTTTTTCCCTTCTGTGCGTCTGCCGGCTGCGATTTGACCAGCCACCGCCAGACGCAGCGCCAGCAAGCCGCAGGAGACAAACCAGCTTCGACCGTCTCTTGATTCTCTTTCTGCTTCTTCTTCTTTTCTTGCCTGTCTTCTGTCGACCTTTTCTTTTCTCTGTTCGACATCGCGACCTTGTTGCTGCTGGCGTTGACCTCCAGCATCTCCTCCAGCCAGCAGCAGCAGCAGCAGCAGCAGCAGCATCTACATCCTCCACTCCCACAGCACCGGAGGAGACGAGAGACAGAAAGCCACGAAGCCGGAGCAGAGACCAATTGATCTTCTTCCCTGCCCGAGACGCAGCCCGACTCGCCGGCTTTCACGTTGACGTCCGCGCTGCAGCCCGTGTTTCCCGCCGTGTCGCCCTCTGCTTCCACCCGCCTTGACGAGACCAACGACCGCCACGACCAGTCTACGATATCTACCTCTGCCCGGCCATCAAGGCAGCGCCAGCGACGCCACCAGAGACGAGCTGCCCTGCTCAAAACCGCCGGCCAGAGTCCTTCTCCCGACCAGAAACACCCTCACACCCAGAGACATCAACAGCAAACACAGCAAGCACAGCAGAGACCGACACCACGCCGGCAGCTCACCCTTGACTCTATAGAGCAGAGGCTCGGGGATACCCAGCAGGAGGGCCTACAGCAGGCCTCGCGGCAGGGAGCTCGTCAGGGTAGCACTCGTCAGGGCACTGCGTCCTCGTACTGGCCGGCGCAGAGCATCAGGGTCTCCCCCAGCACCACTTCGGCCATCCTCTGGGTGCTTGAAGAGGCCATCCGCACCCCTTATCCTTTCACTGCAGACCCGGCTGAGCTTAACGCGTCCATGTCGGAGCTCTTCGAGACCGCTCCAGCAGATGTTGCCAACGGCCGCAGCAGCCAGCATCACCACAACGGTGTAGCCGTTGCCGCCGGTAGGAACGGGATGGGGCCCGGGCAGCAGCCTATGTCTGTACCTGCACCTAGCACTACGGGTGCCACCCATGCTCCCAGCGGTGTCCGCACCCCAACCGATATCATGAGACGGCGGCGGGAGCGTGAACGGGCCCAGCTCAAAGCCGAGCAGGAGGCCAAGCTGAGAGAAGAGCAGCTACAGAAGCAGGCACAGCTGCAACTCCAAGCTCAAGCTCAGGCTCAAGCTCAGGCTCAGTCTCAGACTCAGGTACATCACTCGGTCCCAAACATCACGGTCTCCCAGGATCCTGGCCAAAGGCAGAGTGGCAGGCAAGATACCGTCCGGATCGTTGCAGACGACCCGCAGAAGCCCGCCAGACAGCGGCCGAACATCTCCCAGGCGGCCAAAATGGCCGGTGGTTCACAGCAACAACAACAACAACAACAGCTACCAGACAGCTCATCCAAACCACAGGCCAGTCAATCTGCACCAGGTGGCCAACAGGAGCATCAACACCAACCACAGCAGCAGCAGCAGCAACAACAACAACAACCATCTAGGGGTAAAGCTGCATTCCCTCACGCCTTTGAACGCTGGGAGATGCTCTCCTCGCACTGGGAGGGCCTGACAAGCTACTGGATCCGTCGTCTGGAGCAGAACAACGAGGAACTCAGCAAGGATCCACTCAGCCAGCAAATGTCTCGACAGGTTACCGACCTTTCTGCTGCCGGTGCCAACCTGTTCCACGCAGTCGTCGAGCTGCAGCGTCTCCGGGCCTCATCTGAACGCAAGTTCCAGCGCTGGTTCTTCGACACCCGGGCCGAACAGGAAAGGGCCCAAGAGGTGCGCGCAGAGCTCGAGCGTATGCTCAGCTCTGAGCGCCAGGCCCGCGCCGACGCTGTGGCCGCCCTCAAGCAGGCCGAGAGCGACAAGGCCAAGGCCCAGGAGCTGGCCAGGGAAGTCCGGCGCGAACTGCAGATCTCCCGAGACGAGGCCCGGCGAGCCTGGGAAGAGCTCGGCCGCAGAGAGCAGGAAGAGCGAGACCGCACCATCTCGCTCAGGAATGGCGAGCCCACGATCGTTGGCGGCGTCCAGGTCGTACCGATGCTACAGTCCGTCCCCAGCAGACACACCAGCACCGCCAACCGTCCCCCAACTCGAGAGGGCCCTTATCCAGGCGGGCCCAGCGCGACTTCAATGGGTGGCCAGTCTCACCAACGCCCCTTACTGGAGACGACCGAGTCAACTGGGTATGATGACGATGGCCACGACGCAGACCCCTTTATTGAATCAGGAAACCCCCCCGTTGTCCCTGAAGCACCGCAGCCTCCCCGCCAGACTGAGAGCGGTCGAAGCCAGTTCTACCAGCATAACCGCCAGGTCATCCACGGAGGCGCACAAGCAGGCGTCGGCGATGTCCTATCCGAAGACGGCCGCGCCCCTACAACCACTGTCGGCGGTGCAGCTTCTCTTACTGCTCCTATCGCCGTCACAAACGGCGGCACTCAGCATGTCTCTGACGGACGTCAACTCTCCTACCCTCGCGCCATGTCCGATGATAGCGACGACTACACCACAGAGCCGTTCGACAACTATGTTACCTACGGCTCCGGGCCGCATGGCTCCCCTGGAGCAG